GCAAAGGTTCACTTTGGGAAGCGATGGCGGGGTTTTTCTCAGGAGCCAGCAAACTCGCTGTTTAAATAAATAAATATTCATTTGTTTTATTTTATATTTTTTAAAATTCCTAAATCGCGCGCGCACACATACACATTTATATATGCATATAAATCGCCAATATATAAATTACATATACATACATATATATGTATATATATGTGTGTGTGTGTGTGTGTGTATACATATATAAAAAATGCGATTTGCGAATTTAAAAAAATACAAAAAATAAGGTTTTTTTGTGTCTTTGTTTTACAAGAATTTCTGGAAGAAGCGGGAGGCGGGGGTACGTCCTTCTTCCAAGTCGTGGCTTAATGAAACCCTGGTTTGCTGAATGAAAACACTGGGGATGAATGAACTGGTCACCCGCCTACAGGTAGTTTCGATTCCCAAATAAACCCCGCGGCCCCGTTTAGTGCAATACACAAAGCTCATATTACAGGCTATTTGGGCGATTAGGAGGGGGGGTCTTATCATAGCCCACTTCCCCAACCCGTTTTCTGCCCTTTACTTGCTAGATAACTGCAAGGCATTTAAACCTCAGCTAAATACGAATTGAAGGGAAATTGCATTCTTTTAGACAGGTGCAAAACTAACAACTAGATAATGACCAATTGAACCGGGAAATGGGAAACTTACAAAGGGTTTACTCTCGAGTTCCTCTGGAAATGTTGCATTAGACCAGGGGGGTTCCCAACCGAGGAGTGCGAGATGATATTCCAAGGGGTGCGAAAAACTTGGGTTTTCAAGAAGTTTCAAAATTATAGTGTATAAATTATATGTATATAATCTATTGTTTAAGGGGTCAGAAGCATTCTAGGGGTGCCGGGTATAGAAAAGGTTGGAAACCCCTGCATTAGAGGAACTCTGGTAATCCTACAGAAGCAGAAGGACTTGCAGGATTTCAATTAATTTCCTCCATTTTTACTTTCCTTGACATGAGCTGGCTTTAGCAGATTTTGGCATTTGCAATTTTGCAGGCCTTTTGAGCCTGGAAATTAAGTTGCCTTGGTGAGTCTGGCGCTTCAAATAGTTACAGCTCGGTATAGTTAAATAAAATGAATAAAGCTCACGAATGAAGGTGAATAAATGTGTCCCAGGATCCAATATATTTGAAGGCAAGATGCAATCTGGGTCAGTCACTTGGATTTGTCCTGGAGGCCATCTTCTGGGGATTTCTCTCCACTGGAATGAGTAATGATTGAAGCCTGGGAAACAGCTCCTTTGTCATTCAACAGGAGGGC